ACCTCTCAGCAAGCAGGCCAACGGTTCAAATCCCGGCCGGGGATCTTTCTGGGTGGAGTTTGCATTGTTCTCACCATGCTGTGTGCTCCGGTTTCCTCCCACAGACCAAAAACATGCATGTTAGACTGATTGGTAACTGGGCATCAGTGACCCCATGACCCAAAAAGGAAGACGCAGGTAATAATGGATGGATGGTCATTTTGAGTTTGCTTGGCTTCAAACATTCTTCAGTGGAAGAACTACATACATTTATCTAGGACTTTCAATGACATCAAAAGTGGCTCATGAGCTAACAGACACAGTGTTGTTAAACTCAACCATAACAGAGCAAGAATAAAAAAAAATAATAATAATCTGGCATAAAATATGATCACAAGCTGAAGAAATGAGTTATATTCAGACAGCTCATATCTCTGTGTATTGAAGTCCACTGAGTTCATTTTATTTCAAAATGTAATTTCAGAAGCCAGATAGACAGCTACCTCAAACCTAGCCAATTTTTGATTATCAACAAAAAGGAAACAAACACACACACGAGGAAGTATCAGCGTGCGTTCTGCGATAACTTAAAATAAGTGACGTTGTTGGGGCTGTTGTGTAAGGGCGGACAGCAGTAGGTGGGTGATGTGGAGAGCCGTCCACCTGGCCTGTCTGCCACATTCACACAAAACACCGAGGGGACAGACCGGCTGTGGATGACTCACCGGCAGGGAGAAACCGTGTGTGTATGTGCGTGTTTATGCAAATCAGTGCTTACTCTTCAGTTTTGTTGAACGTTTTCAGTTTAACTGCAGGGCGGAGGGAACTTCCCCACTGGTTCGCAAACTTTTCAGTCCCTGGAAAAGGTCCAGTTCAGTTAACGCACATGTGACGGCACGCACACAGACACACAAAGGCCTCTTTGTGTTTGACCCCTCGGAGGACAAGCGGGCGGGTCAAAGTGAAGCGTCACGCCGAGGCAGCTGAAAAAAAGGCGACTGCGTGTTAACGAGCGCCTTCGCTCAAGATACGCTCGATAACACGCGCTCTCTTCTCCCCCTTCCCCGCGCCACTTTCTGCTCTTAATCTCATAACTCACTATTTACGACACACTGTGACCCCCCCACACACTCGTTCTTTTCCTCCTAGCAGTCATGAAGGCCTCAGTTACAATAAAAGCCAGCTCCCTGTGAAAAGGCGCATTGAGACACAGTCACATGCAGCTGTCTCTGTTTGCCCTCAGGTTGCTCCGGGGACGTCACACACTTTGAGTTAATGTTTATATTTCATCACAAGCTGCATGTTAAACGCTGTGTCGGCCATCTTTAGAATAAAACTGCACACGCAACAACGTTTCACAGCTCCTGTGAGTTTCAGCATGACGCTACATGTTGTCAGTCCAGTCCAACACATTTTTGTGTTAGTGCTCAGAAGTAACCAGCTCACCCGACTCAACCCCCATAAGTCAAACTCCACTCTGTGCCTCAGCCTCTCTCACAGTCACACCGTCCCTCTAGGCGTCAACAGAGCTGAGACAAAAGCAGCGGCGTGTTTAAGGTAAACACATGACTCCGGCAGAGAGATAGGGCCCGGCCCGACGGGGTCTCGGAGTCCCGGTGCTGCTGCAGCGGTGCTGCTGCCGGCGGCACGCTGGTGGAAAGCTACCTGACAGCTGCTTCACATATCAGATAAGATTACAGGTCTACCTGCAACACCTGTTCAAACAGACCCGTGTGCATGCACGCCACTGTGTGTGTGTGTGTGTGTGTGTGGTTAAGCTTGAGAAGAAGATAGACTGAGATAGCAGACTAATCCAGTGGCAGGTGCATGTATGTAATTGGGGCAGCTAAAGATACAGACTCAGAGAAGGAGTTCATTTAGGGTGCCCATAAGTCCGGGAGCAGTCATGTTACTCTGTTATTTATGTTGGTGAAGGTTTTTGTATTGAACATTTTTGAATCTATTGTTTACAATTATTCATTATTATTTAATTCTGTTCACAACTATTCCGTATATTCACAATTATTCATTCGTGCTCATCTGCTCACACAGACTCATGTTCGTGCTGCTGTTCGGTGTATTGTTTTTGTACTACTAGTGCTTGGTGTATTTTTAGTTTACATTTTTCTTGGTTCATATCTTAGATCTTACTGCTGTTTTTCTTTTACAGTTTAATACTTTTGTTGGATGTAACTGGGACCCTGTGTACATAATTTTAAAATGGCAATTTATTTTTCCTTTTTGCATATTCAAAAAATAATAAACTAAACTAAATAAACAACCTTGAATCTTATTCACAGTTATTTACAATAGGGAATGGTGGTGCAGAGGTTAGAGAAGATGGGCCTGTGATCTGAAGATCGCTGGTTCAACTCCCGGTACCAACAACATCAAAATGTGGGTGGGATAGATGAAGCATCCCCACCTGCCTCCACCCTCATTTGCCCCACTCTGGGACCTTGAGCAAGGCCCTTAACCCCCACCATCTGCTCCCCTGGGCACCCTAGACAGCAGCTCTCTGCTCCACACAGAGGCTGTGGTAGCTCGGTGTCTGTGGTTGTGTCAGGAAGGACATCAAGAGTAAAAACAATTGCCAAGTCTTTGTGCGAGTTAGTTCACTGTGGTGACTCCTAACGCAGGGAGCAGCCGAAAGAAGAAGAAATATTCACAGTTATTCACAATTATTCATTTTTGATCATTATATTCACTATTATTCTTCACCTTTGCGTAATGCAACATATTTTTAGTGAAGTATGCAACCTATTTGGGAATCGTGTGCCTTAAGTTTTTCTGGTGGTATATTGTAGAAGGTAGGCAACAATAGCACCAAAAAATAAAAAAATAAAAAATAAATAAATTCACATGAACAACATTAGGATTGTGCAGTTATTTATAAAAACTCAAGCACCGTTGGGGCTCTACAGACTTCACAACAGAATTCAAAGTTTAATCAGGTCAGAAAAAGTTGGACTCTGATGTGGAATTTTGACGTTTTTAATAGTTTTTATGTAATCACAGTTCATGGTTTATGGATTTACTGTAGAAGAGTTTTGCTACAAAAGGTTCGTGTCATGACGACGTCACACATTAAAATTTTGCTGGATTTGATCATATTTTTGCAGCATATTCCAGTTGAACATGAAAACACAGGTCTTGTTTGGACCTCTCAGCTGTACGGCTTCCCCTGAATGCTGTGTTTACATCCACAAACATCTGAACACAGACGTTTATATTCAAAGCTCAAAGTCGTTCCCACGTCTCTCACATAGAACACTAGAAATATAAAACTTGACCTGTGTGGCAACCAGATGTTTTAAATATGATCAATATTCTTTGCACAGTGACTGTTTATTGTAAGTTTACCATCTAGTCTGTGTTTTCCAGTTTTTATTTCAAACATGCGTGGTTACCATGGTGACTAATGAGCCACTGGCAGCAGCTTTATTTCTTTTTCTCTGTTCTCTTTGTTTTTAAAAAGAGTTTAATTAAATAATGACATTTTGTCTGCTTAGATTATTATAAAAGGGGATCTCAAATTATTTTGGGGGCGTCAAAGAAGAAATACGATGTAAGTCGGTGCTTCGTGGCTGAATTCTTACTCTTCAAATACGCTCGTTAATATTTCTGTGTTTGATTTTATGGAAGCTCAAAGAGCGTTTGGTGAGTGACGGTACATTTTAAAGACGCTTTCTTTCTTTTAGCTCGACAGCAGAGCTCTCCACCACTGAACGGAGAATAAACACTGCCTCGTAAAAAATAAAAGGTTCATAAGCTCGATCATTTAGGTGCATAAATAAGAAAAAAGTTCAATCGAGTTCAAGTCAAGGTTCTTTGTTGTCATTCGCATCTTATGTGGTGCATGAGGTGGAATGAAATTGTGTACACAGGGTCCCAGTTACATCCAATAATGGCAAAAATATAAACAGTAAAATAAATAGTAAATAAGGATCTATAAGATATAAATGAAGGAATACGCTAAACACTTAATAGTGCAACACAATATGCCGAACAACAGCAGCTCGAACATGAGTCTGTGGTGAGCAGATGAGTATGAATGAATGAACACAGCAGCATGACACCATCAGCAGCATAGTTAATCAGCAGCACATATCAGCCATCAAAGTGGCATTACAGTGATTTTTTTATTAATTCTTTGTCATCTGGACTGATTGTTTTTGGAAGAAATGTTTCGTCTTTCATCCATAAGACTTCATCAGTCTGAGGCCGGCCACCTCAACAGAACAGTGTCTGTGCTCCTTCACTGACCACCACACTTGTGAAGTCACGAGGGACTCTGTCAGCATCCCTTCAGACAATGCTCGGTGCACACCATCACACTCGTGCACACGCTGCACTCCTGCTCCCTTCGGCTCCAGCCTGACATCTAGCGACTCGGGCTGTAACGTGATCTCACATGACATGTGAACATGCAGGAGCCGTCCAGGAAGGCGAGTGTGAGCGTTGTTGTGCACGGAGCTTGATGGGTTTATTTCCCCCCGTGTGGTGCTGATACACAACTTTAACTCAGTAATGACTGGCTCTCATTTCACCACAGCTGGCTGCTGGACTCTGCTGCCTCTTGTGTCATATGATGATGTCATCATGGTTTCACCGAGCGGCCTCCCTGCAGCCTGACTGACACAACATGTTGTGGCTGCTCGTTGTGTTTTCTCAGCACTTCCTCGCCACCACACATGACACATGATCTACTTTTAGTCAGCACTTGAAACTCAGGTGGTTTTCAGGTTTATCCCTAAAAGCTGCAGGCGCAGAGCGCCTTGGAGAACACAAACAGTTTGACTCTGACTTCCTGCAGGCTCTGACAGGAATGAGGTCAGACACACGGATCCTCATTGTGCATCTTTATTATTATTATGACCACTTTTTTTATTATTCAACCAATGGGAGGCGAGCAGGGCGTGGCTCAGGAGAAAAACCAGGATGGAGACAGACGCTGATTGGGCCCTACGGCTCGCCATGAGGGTATAAAAGGACCAGCCGCGCGTTTTTGTGTTTACAGTCATATCACAGAGCAGCGCAGGAAACAGGGAGACTATGAGAAAGCGCAGCCGCTCCATTCAGCCACATGGTTCCTCCACGGCCCAGACCCGCTGCGCTGCGCACACACACACGCACGTAAGGGACTGCTGCTGCTGCTGGCCACAAAGGCAAGCTTCAAGACTCCCAGGAAGAGTGTTCAGCCGCACAGGCAGCTGAGACTCAAAGCTGCTCATTCTGAGGCGCGTGAAGACTTTCTTCAAAGAGCCAGAGGAGAAACTTGGATGAACTTTGTGCGCGTGTGCGTGCGTGTCCATCAGCTTCCAAGTCTGAGGAATAGTTTGTTGTTGTTTTTTTTGTCTACAAGATCTGATTGTTTGAGGTGAAGTGAGAGCTTCCCGACTCCTGGAGGGAGAGATGGTGCAGCACATGAGTCAGACGGAGAGCGCCCACGCGCACTCTCCCGGCGGGGACTCCACGGACACGGGAGACATCATGGACTTGGAGATAGACGCGTCTCCGTTGTCGGAGTCCCCCTCCTCGCGGGACTTGGCGTGGTGCAAAACCCCCACGGGCCACATCAAGAGACCCATGAACGCGTTCATGGTGTGGTCGCAGATCGAGAGGAGGAAGATCATGGAGCAGAGCCCCGACATGCACAACGCCGAGATCTCCAAGCGGCTGGGGAAGCGCTGGAAGCTGCTGAAGGACACGGATAAGATCCCGTTCATCCGCGAGGCGGAGCGGCTCCGGCTCAAACACATGGCCGACTACCCCGACTACAAGTACCGGCCCAGGAAGAAGGTGAAGTCAGGCGGAGGAGCGAGCGGCAAGCAGGCGGAGAAGAGCGCGGAGCGCAGCGCCAAGAGCGGCGTGAAGAGGAGCCCCGCGTCCAAAGGAGGCGGCAGGACGCACAGGCAGGGAGGGGGCAGCAGGAGCGCCCCGGGGCAGGACTCTCCCACTGACCACCAGTCACTCTTTAAATCCAAGTCCGGGGCCAGGCAGATCCCGGACAGGCGCGCAGGAGGAGGAGAGGCCAGGCGCGCGAGCCTGTTCAGCCCGGAGAGCGGACCCCCCTCCGTGGGGGTCCCGGCCAGTCCCACACTGAGCAGCTCGGCGGAGTCCAGCGACCCGCTCAGCCTGTACGAGGAGCAGAGCCCGGGCTCCACCGCGCGCCTCAGGTACGCTCGCGCTTCCTCCCCGACTCCATCGGCCTCCCACTCTTCCTCCTCGGTGTCCTCCTCTTCCTCCTCCTCCTCTGATGAGGAGTTTGAGGACGAGCGGCTCGACTTGAACCCGAGTCCGGGTTTTGAGGGCATGTCCCTGGGAGGCATGGGCTTCTCGGACGCCGAGCTGGACCGGGACTTGGACTGGAGCTTCGGGGAGAGCGGCGCGGGCTCTCACTTCGACTTCTCCGACTACTGCACCCCGGAGGTCAGCGAGATGATCTCAGGAGAGTGGCTGGAGTCCACCATCTCCAACCTGGTGTTCACCTACTGACTCAGACCCAGCTGGAGCGGGGCGCCGTAACGCACGTTTGAACTCACCTGACCCCCTCCAGGACAGGCGGCATGCGGCGAAACCTGAAGAGGTCCGCATTTTTCCGTGCGCTCAACAAAGCAGAGGGAAACAGGTAAAGAAAAGGTGGCCTGAGCGCGCGCGCGGCTCACAGACTTGGACAGCGCTCCGTGCGCGTGAAGGGAGGAAATGCTTAGTTTGCATTTGGACTCGGAGGAGGAGGAGTGAATGTAAGCCACGAGACTGGAGCGCTGATGCTCTCCTCTAAGCTCTGAGACTGGACTCTGATTTGGGTGGGGGGGTAGTTTCTGGAGAGCGCGCCATGTTTGGTTCTGTTTAGCCAACTCACACTGGCCATCAAAGTTGTTATTCAGGTGTAATGTTTCCCTCCAAACTAAAAAAAAACAAAGTCTCCCAGTTGTCTCCCCAGATCACCATCTTTATCCAAATGCGTAAAGTTGCTGCGTCCTTACGCAATGTGTGGAGCAAAAAAAGGACACAATTCACGATCACCAGCTTCTCTCTGAACGGCAGGACTTCACAATAAAGACTCCGATCTTCAGAAACAGTTTCTTTTTAAAAACAAAAACAAACAAATAAATAAATAAAAACAAACACACTCAGTGCACAGTTCAGGACCAACAACGTGTTTCCGGATTCTTTCTGCCTATAGTGAGTCAACTTTGTAGTTTTTTTGTGTCAGATTTTTTTATATCGATGTATTTATACCGGCCAAACTTTTTTATACATAAGAAGTATTGTTCTCGTACAGGTCTCGTTTGTGTTCGTGAACACACACACTCACACACTCTCACACACACACACACCTGTCTGTATCCAGCGCTGGAAGGGCTAGAAGTGTATCTTACTTAAAAAAAAACTAAAACGTCTGACTTCTCTCACTTTTAAGGAGACTCGAGCGTGTCATGCTTTTCTACTTGTATTTTTGTACAAAATCTATAGGAAAACTGAGGGGCGGGGTTTGTTTCTGGTCTACAGCATTGTTGTTTGCATCGTTGGTGTTTAGATGTGCAGATTCGGGGGGGGGGGAGGGGGGTGTTTGGCACAATCTGACCTCACACAGTGTTTACAGTATTTACCCACATGCTTCTTAATGGCACAGTGACTCCAGTTTCACCAGCCGAGTAAACAAAGCACCACTGAGGTCCCCATGAGTGGTGGCTGTGTTTCCACTCCACACACACACACACACACTCACACACACACACACACACACACACAGAGCTAAAAGTTTCTGAGAACAATCCCAGAGAGCTACTGTTTGGATAGAGCTAATACCTCTGTGTGCTTTTAGTTGTTTTTTTATATTTATATCAAGACAAGTTTTATTTGAACCACTGGATGGACTTTCACGCTCATTCCACTTTGCCTAAACTTTGGAGGGAGGTGTTTGAAGTGCTTCATCTGTTATTGCGCAACAGTTGCATCAAGAACCCGAGTATTTAACCTGTCCTGTACCTGTTGGCTAGCAGGCTAATTGTTTTCCTATATTATGGCATGGCAAATAGCATTTGTATTTCAGATTCAGGTATATGTAGCTCTAGCTGTTGTGTTTAAGATTTTTAAAAGAATAATAACATTAAGATATTTATGTAAATTGACTGTATTATAGGCAAAGATTGTGTGTTATGTAAGATGATCGACAGGCACTAGGACAGCCATCTTTTGGACATGATGAAGATGATTGTGGTCCAGGAATTTCTTTACTTTTATTTTATTTTTTTGTTTTCATAATGAAAAAACAACTTCCAGACAAGTTTATTTTATATTTTTCCCCCCCATTTGTGCAATATGTTGTGTTTGATCAATGTTTTGTTCACTCATGCCAATAATATCATTTGATGTCTTTTTTGCTCAAAACCAGCCAATGTTTGGGTCAATCACTGCCTCTCAGACCTCTGTACAGATTGTTATATTTTTCTTTTTTTTTTTTTCCAAGAAGGAAATAAAATCAGCTGGAACTGAATGGTGCAATGTTCTTTTCCCTATATAGTCAATAAAACGCATTATTTGATACAATTATCAGAAATACGTGGTGAGTTCTAAAGCTCCCTTTGAAGAATTTATTAATAAAAAAAGTCTAAAGACTTAAATTCCTGGAAATCCAATGCCAGATATTTACTTTTCGTTTGCACGTGTGCATCGTGGCGGTGTTTAGAAATCGATAGGAGTGGCTTCTCTCTCTCCCTCCGTCTGTGCACGTGCAGAAAACGTGGCTGCCATGGAAACTGTATCCAAGAGAGAGGTTGCAATCCGCTGGGGAGCAGCATGGCAGTCGTGTGCATGTGTGTGTGCATGTGTGTGAGGGAAAGGGACACAGACTGATCCATCAGGGCGGGGTGGGGGGTGGCAGACGTTTCTGTAAGGCATGACTGGAATAAAGGAGGAGGAGTGTGCCAAAGCAAAAGAGGGGGGGGGAAAGGGTAAAGAGGGTGTTTGTCTGTCCTGGTGGAGTGTGCACGAGACTGCTCCCAAATCCAATTAATTCCTTCTGGATGCGTTCGTTCGTCTCGTACATCCGACGAGGAAGACGGAGCCTGGGCCCCCTACGGTACGGTATTTAGCGTGTATCAATTTACGCCCTGTTCCACAAGAGACTCGGGTAATTATTTTCCATCTCTCTCCTCCTCCCTGTCAGGAGAGCTGGGGTCGTCTGCAGCTTCTCCCTCTGACATCCCCGAGCTCGGTAATGAGAAAGATAAGGTATGGTCATTACACACGCCGCCCCAAAGACGAGACGCGAGCCTCCACGTGTCTGCGGCGAGCTTGACGTCCAACGAGGTGTCCCCGTTTGACAAAGTCCTCCACGTTAAGTTGATGCGGGGCCATTAAAGACAAACAAATGCCCTCAGCCTCCTCTTCCTCCACACTTTGACCCACATATGCATGGGCTGCCCTTCACCTTCATGCCTGACTGCTGTGGCTCACGAGTGACATCACAGAGCCAAAGTGTCTGCTTAGGCCCAAAGTAATATACAGTAGGATTATTTTTCTATTTTGTTGTCTTAAAACCAGAAATGTTAAATGATTTTCAGATTACAAGCAGTAATTCTAAAATACGTTTTAAAACTATGAAGATAAATGAGTAAAAAATGTTTGAAATAAATTGGAATGTGAAGCCACAATTATTATGTTCAGAAACGCGATAAGTTGTAAGAAAAGATCCACCAGTGAGCAATGATCTCTGTATTTATAGATCTGTTCTGACCAAAATCCACTGTAGGTCAGCGCCGTGAAGACGCTGAAGGAGCTCCACACAGTTCAGAGATAAAGTTGTAGAGACCAGAGGTGGAGAATAAAACACCCTGAACCCTGAACATTCAGTAGATCACCATCACAATCATTATTATTGTGCATAGCTCCACTAGAAGCTCCACAGAGCTCAGATTTATGGAAGCCTGGTCATGAAAAAGCCATTGTTAATGAAAACAGTGGGCTCTGTGGTCGGATGAGACTAAAACTGAACTTTTATAAAGAATGATGTGTTTGGCACAAAGCCAACACTGCTTGTCTGCAGAGAAAGAGAAGCATGGTGGTGACATCATGACGTGGAGATGTTTTTTTTTTTTTTTTTTTTTTTTTTTTAATGACAGGAGCTGAGAAACTGTTTAGAATAGAAAAAAAAGGTGCAAGAACAGAAGTTTCTGACTGGAACTTGGATAGTTGAGTCAGGGGTGTAGGATTCACCACCATCATGGAATGATCCTGTCAAATCCCAGACCTCATTAGAACTGAGGATCTTTGAAGATCCTGATTCAACCTGAAGGCGCAGTCTGGTCACCAAGAATGGACAAATCTAGTTAAACCAATCTGATGGAGCCAAACTAGAAGGGATGCTGCTGTTACTGCAGCCAAAAGTGGACGGGCAAACTATTGACTTGAAGGAGATGAAACATATTTTCACTTTATCTTATTCATCCTTTATTTATACAGGTTAGTCTCATTGAGTCACGAGGACTCGTTTTCAAGAAAGACCTGTTTTAGACAAACAACATTTAGAGTACAAACAACACTGAACAATAAAAAGAATATAAATAAAAATACAGTAGTGTTAAAAAGCACTGTTACCGTTAGCTGTGTGGTCATGTTAGCAGTGTGATCATGTTAGCAATGTGGTCCTGTTAGCAGTGTGATCCTGTTAGCAGAGTGGTCCTGTTTGCAATGTGGTTCTGCTAGCATTGTCATCCGCTTAGCAATGTGGTTTTGTTAGCAGCAGGGTCCTGTTAGCAGTGTGGCTCTGTCAGCAGCAATGTAATGCAGCAGTGTGGTTCTGTTAGCAGTGTGGTCCCATCAACAGCATGGTACTGCTAGCAGTGTGGTTCTGCTAGTAGCATCGTCCTGTTAGCAATGTGGTCCTGTTAGCAGCATGATGATAGTAATGACCACAGCAACGGACAATGAGTGTCCTTGAGAACCGGGTTTGGCAGACACAGAACATCAAAGTTACCTGTGGAACCAAACTGTTCCGTAGAGTTCGGTACATGCAGGCAGATGGAGGATCATGGAGACGACTGCCATGACAGGCCGGAGCCTGATCTCGAGGCGAGAAAGGGGCTGGAGAGTGGGGTTCTGATGGAACGAACCAAGCTGCAGATGGACCGTGTAGGTCTCAGAAAATTCCCGGTGGACCGGAGTGGCTCGGAGAGCAGTGAGTCGTATCCATTCATCCCGCTGGACCCATGCACCATGCCACCCTTTGTGGCCTGTCATGGAGGGTGAAGGAAAAAAGCATGAAAAGATATGCACACACCAATTTTCAGTTTCAAAATTAATATAGAAATTTTAATTAACCGTTGTTTTATTTTTTACTTTTATCAACTTGAAGTATTAGATTTAGCATTTATGAGTAAAAAAAAAAAAAAAAAATCTAAATTAAATTCACTTAGTAAGTTAAGAACATTTACCACGGGGTGAATACTTGTGCAAACACCTGTGCGTAGAGCAGTTTAAAGAACTTTTTTTTTTATCCTGGAAATTCATAACATAAATTTATAATTCAACTGATTAGTTTTATCTATCTTCTTCTGTTCAGTCACATCCGTTCTGAAACATATACATATAATTAGATTATGTTCCATCACGGTGAGTTCGTCTGTCTTTGATCACAATTTATCATCAGATATTGTCAGACTTCTGCTCAAAACAGCTGTTCATTATCACACTATGCATCTACAATACATTCCTTCTCTTTGGTGCAATCGTTAATTACTTGTTTTTAAGTGAATATTTAAATGTTTTGCAGCTGTGCACTAAAACTACAACGTGTTTAAGATGGAATGTTTCCA